TAGTGGCAGAGTGTGGAAGCTGAAGAAGGCCCTCTATGGGCTGAAGCAGGCCCCTAGGCAATGGTACATGAAGCTGCGCGAAGTGTTGGAGGGGATCGGCTTCACTCCCTCAACGGCCGATCACTCCTTGTTCATGCTTGGCGAGGGGGAGCAGATGAGTTTCATGGTAGTTTATGTGGATGACATCCTCATTTTCTCACCCTCTTCTGACCTTGTGAAGGAGGTGATGCTGAAGCTTCAAGACAAGTTCAAGTGCAAGGCCCTTGGTGACGTGAGCTTCTACCTTGGGCTCCACATCGAACGAGATGTGGAGAAGCGGTGCATGCGGGTGCATCAACGAAAGTACCTGGAGGCATTGGCTGCCAACTTTGGGCAGAGTGAAGGCCATGTGGCTACACCCTTTCCCTCTGGGTTCAAGTGTGTGAAGGGACCAGAGGAGGAGAGCGTTGGTGAAGAGGAGAGGCGCCGATTTCACTCGTTGGTGGGCAGCCTCATGTATGCGGCGGTAAACACCCGACCGGACGTCGCGTTTGCTACCGGGCAGCTGGTTAGGGTTGTGCAATGCCCTAATGAGGAGCAGGTAGCAGCTGGAATGAGGGTGGCCAAGTATCTTGGCCAAACACCGACCGTTGGGCTGCAATACTCGGCGGCGGCACAAAGGCGCCAAAAGGGCGCGGATGGTGTTGAACCCGGGCGTTTGTTCCTCACCGCCTACTCGGATGCTTCATATGCATCAGAACCAGAGGACATGACAAGTGTGGGAGGCTTCATATGCTGTGTTGGTGGAGGCCCAACTGCTTGGGAGAGCAAGAAGCAGGTTGACCAAGCTTTGAGCTCGGTGGAGTCCGAGTACATGGCACTCTTCCGTGCCGTACGGGAGATTGTGTGGCAGCGGCGTTTGTTGGCTGAATTGGGGGAGGAGCAGCAAGGACCTACCCCACTGTACTGTGACAGCCAGGGTGCCATTGCTCTTGCTAAGAACCCTGTGTTGCATGGACTCACGAAGCACATGAGGGTGAAGTGGCATTGGACGAGGAGCATGGTAACCGCGGGTGAAGTTGAGTTGCGCTACGTGAAGACCACGGGGCAGCCGGCTGACATGATGACCAAGAGGCTGGTGGAGCAGCAGCATTGGAAGTGTTGCAAGCTGGCTGGGATGGCTCTGAACTGAGAGAGCAACATATCCTAAGGCCAACAAACCGAGGGGGAGTTTGTTGGTGCAACCCTACGGTTTGCACTCGGCTTGTTGTCCGTGTGCGTGAATGTGTGTGTGTATGGAATGGTATGAGGGCATGGGATAATATATATTTCATGCTTATAATTGTGTGTGAATGTTGAGTCATGATGTCGAGTGTGTGTGTCGAGTCAATAGCGAGTTATCGCTAGACGCGTGTTACGCGGTCGTTTGTGTCTCGCGCGCGGTTTCTATTTTGTCGTGCGCGGTTTCTATTTTGTCCTGTGTCGAACGTTCGGCGTGTCGCAGGTGTGTGCAGCAGACCCATCAAGAACTCAAGGATGAGTTTGTGATGAAGAGCCCGAGCCTTGGTGTCAAGCCTCAAGTGATTTCGAAGCTTGCCAAAAGGGTACACCTCAAGATATTGAAGATAGTTACATTACTTTGTGTAGTGTAACATTTCACTTGGTGTAGGCCCTAGTGAAGGGTAGTTTCGAGACCCTTCGTGGTTGGGGACAGTGTGGCACTGTTCCACATCACTGTACCTCGGCTCTTGGGGTTTGTAGGAGCTGGGAGTCATTCCCAACTCGTAACTCTTCCTATCTTGTGTTCTAAGACTATAGTGGCTGCCATAGTACCGTTCGTTCAAACCGACGCTGTGTCGTCAATTCTTTATCAAATCGTGCAATCTAAATTGCTAATTGTAGACGACGTGAAGACGCTCCAGATCCAATTTGAATCAAGTCATTTGCAGCTGTGAGCAGAACGCTATCAACGTTTGAAGCCGCTGTGCAGAAATCCGTCTGTGCTCTCTATCTTTCGTTTTAGGCACATTCAAGCCTATTGTGACTATAACAGTTTTTTGGGGTGGGAATTTTGTGACGTGGGCTAAAGGCAGTGACTACCTTCTCACATGATGAAAGGTACATGAACATGAGTCATGACATGACCTATTATTCAAAAAAAGAATCCTTAGTGCCATGCTGTGATTTGCACGTCGCCATTTCTGATTATTTATCTGTTTATCGTCCTTCAGAGCATCATACAGAAGGTGCCAGTGTTGGGATGGAACAAATCCGGCATGACAGCAGGGAGTATACCAAAGCTTTGCTAGACCGTTGATCATAAGCATGACAATTAGATATCCACAGCAATCTCAAGCCTGTTCATGAACGCCAACCAGAACAGCTTGATCCAAGATCGCATCACCTATGACATAACTTATTCAGGATGCTTTATCATAAGCCAAAACAGTCAAAACCCTACTAACTCTACTCCCTCGGCTGCACGGCATCCACGCCATGGATGATAAACAGCTTCCCTCTGAAAATCGTCGGAGTCTTAATCTTTGCCTTGCCCTTCCCGATCGCCACCTTCTTCTTTCCAGTCTTGGAGTCCACAACCTCCGCCGTATCCACTACGTGACCGTTCCCGTTCTTCAATCCTTTAGCGAATTTTAGGTCATCCTCCTCGTACACTCCGTCCAGAATGTTCGCGCGAATCCACTTCCCGTACGGGGTAACCTCGTCGCGTGTGAGTTTGGAACGTGTGAACATGGTAACCATGTCAGGCGCCGCGGAAACCATGGCCGTGTCGTCGGGTAGGAGGACGGTTTTCCCCTCGGTGTTGGCGAGGTACTCGTCCGGTGGGTTCCAGTCGTTCTCTGCATCACATGAATCATAGAAAAGGGTTGAAGTAGTAACGTGGATACAACGACTGCACGAAAGAAGGAAAAAGAAGGAAAAAGTAACATGATTTAGTACCCATAGCCGGAACGATTTGGTCCATCATTGCGCCGCTGCTCTTGTATTTTCCGTTCAGCTTGGGGTCATTGAGCGCTTCTCGGGCCTCCTTCACCTCGTTGATCAGATCCTCCTTGCTGGGCCGCGCGGCAGCTGACGCCCAGCAGCAATGCGAACGTGCAGACGGCGGTGAGAGCCGAGAGCTGCCTAGACGGCCCCATGGCGCGTGCGCAGAGAGAACCTTGAGTGACTGTAACTCTAGATCGTAGGAGCATAAAAGGCTGCGAGGGTACACGTACTACTACGTGAAGACTCTGAGGAGAAACGAGGGTCAGTGCCAAATGTGTGTGTTTTTTGTAGGCTCACCTGGCCCAAGGTATCAATTTGAGAGGGACAGTCGGTCGATCACGCCTCAATCATCAACATGCGACGCGACTCCAACTTCCTGCTGGTCACCTGGACATCATCCCATCCACCTGGATTCTGCTTCTTTTGCCATTTGCGAAAGGATGGCGTCCCCAGCGAGCCGAGATGCGAAAACAGAATGATGGCGAAATGTAGAACAAGGTTTCAATCTTTCGTGTTGGGTTGCACACCAGGCGTTTTGTTGGACTGAATTCACGCGGGAAAATGTTCCGACATACACGGCGGCGACGGGCTTGACGGGGAAATCTTCCCAGATAATAGCGGGATAAAACCACTTCTCGTCACACTGTATAGCGCGTACAGCACTCTACACGACTGTTATTTGCCGGTAGGGAAAAAGGGAGAGGTGCTGCTCACAGACAGGGCTACTCAGGTGCGATTGAACGTGCACAGATTGACTCCTCTAGTAGTGGATGACGGGGTTTTGGTGGGAGAAGCTGGCCTTCCTCTAACAAGACTCAGGATGTCGGTGCTTTGTGAGAAGGGCAAGGGAGCTTCTCTGAAAAAACTGCGGGCAGCTTTGAAGGGACCAGCTGAACAACCAAAGCAGCAAAAGAAGTGGGAGCAGGAGTATGGAAAACCGATAGACTGGAAAGGGAACATCCAGAAGCGGGACAGTCTGGTCACAATGGGCAGGGCTCGCGAGGTCATCTTGCGACTGCACAGCAAGAACCTTCAGGTTGGAGAGAGACTACACTTCATGCCGGATCGAATCAGCTGCCCACACTGCAAAGAAGACGAAACCCTAGGGCACTGTTTGCTCGAGTGTACCAGCATACAGCCTGTCATCGGCGCGCTCAAAGGGGCTCTGAGAGAGATGAATCCGAGCAGGGCAGTGGAGAGGCTGGAGGACTTCTTGTTCGCGGATGATGGCACGAAGTCAGGCTTCCCGGAAAAGCCGTTGTTTGCGGTGGCTTTCCACCAGATCTGGCTGGAGCGGTGTGAAGCGGATTTTCGGCAGGACAAATTTCAGCCGCGAAGAGTACTCAGGAAGATCGGCGTGAACTTCATGAAGCATGTCAGAATCTACAGTGCGTGCAAGAAACGGTCAACGGGGGTGGCAGACGTGGAGACGGAAGGTGTGGTGCAGAACTGGAAACACCTGGCGAAGGACGAGGCTAGGATGCTGAGCCGGATCTTCGAGGATGAGGACACGCTACTGTGGAAGGAGGGATTCAGATCGGTTTGGAACAACCCGAGAACTATCTTTCATCCACCTTAAAAATCCACGGAAGGGTAGTGTAGACCGTTGGTTTGCCAGATCCCTTCCTCCCTCACAGTTACGACTGTGGATGTACCCGCTTTTATAAGTGTAATACATCCTAAAAAAAAAAAAAAAACGACTGTTATTTGCACTATGGCACGGCCGCATGCCTCTGCTGTTATCTGTTTACGAATGTAGTGAGAGGATTTGGCCAGGCTAGTTGGGGCTAGGAGATCTGTTTTTCGTAACGAAGACTTGCTTTACAGCGAGGACGAACGAATCGCCTATCGTACTCATTCATCCACTGAAACGCTGCTTCTCGCGCTCACTTGCCTACGAGCCCACCCCAACCACATGCCTTCCATCACGCTTTCTATACTGCAGCATATGAGAGGAGAGGCTGTGAAAGAATTTCTGTCAACAAATCTGCAGATTTTTCCTTGTTTTCCAAGCTATGGGGGACATTAACATTGCTCTGCTTGTTATTGCAATTGTTGTATCATTGCTTTCCATCGCCGTCAGTATTTATCTCCTCATTAACTACCAACATCCAGATGACTCGAACCAAGCGTACTTTCCAAAACTTGTCGTGGTAGGGGAACTGGTTTCTAATAATATCCCAATAATCCCAACGACATAAGTCCTCGCATATTCTTGGATCTCTGTCGGATCGTATTGCTCACTGCTGCGTTGGTCGTGCGGAGAACATGTGATGTTTATACTCAATAGACGCCGTTTGCTTTGCGCAGGTCATTGGTCTTACGCTTGCACAGCTTTCAGTTCTCATGCTTCCTGCGGACGTTTCGAACCGGCAAAGCTGCATTAATGGCTTTGTGAACGGAGATTGCTCTGAGACTTTACCCATGAGGACTCTGTGGTACATCCTTTGGATTGCTATGTGCGTCATGGTCTTCGTCATCATCCCTTTTTCCATCTTTTTGTACGAAGGCGATGAAGAAAAGTAAGTGAGTTGGCTAGAAGGCAGTTGAGTTAGTTTCGCTTACCATCGATGACTCAGCTTTCATCGTGTGCAGGGGTACCGGGAAACGGGTATTGCTCGCGGTCTTGTGGTGTCTTCTATCAGTGTTTGTGTTCGGGGGACTCCTTGGAATTCTTTATGGTAAGCCGGAGAATAGATACGATTTTATTCCCTGCGTCAAGTGCTTCTCATTGGTCCTATGACAATTCCATTTCAGGATTCGTTGGTTACGTGGAGTATCCTGTAAAGAGGCTGGTCTCTGCGACTATTCCCATGACGAACGACTTTAGCTCGCTTGGCAGTCAGGCTTCCTGTGTTTCCTTGTATAATACTGGTCTGGGCGCGGTGAGTGAGAAATGGTCACCTTATGGTCCCTTCTTTTTGTGGGATACGCCTAATATGTTATTTGTGTGAAATTAGTGTTCTTCTTATGCTTCTCCTCAAGGATCCAAGACCACGTGGACACTGAGGGTCTCGTTTCCGAAGTACATTATTGCATTATTTACGATACTGGGGTCTCTCTTATTCTCAGTAAGTACTATTGTCCGCGGCTCCCTCTCCATCAGATGCTCAGATTGACTGACGCCTGCGTTTATGCAGATTTTTGGTGGTGTTGGCATAGCCGTCTTGCCACTGTCATCTATTCTTTCCTTTCTAAGGCGTCCAAGAGCCACAATAACTCGCTCGGAGTACATCAAGGTACCAGCAGTTACAAGTCATTTAAGGTATTGTTTCATATTCATAGTTCTCCTAACGTTACACAACGCCGATTCAGGAAGCCACAGCAATTGGGAAAAAAGCCAAGGAGATACATGAACTTGCTGTTACTCTTCAGCAGGAGGAGAGAAGTGGCGGTAAAACTTGGGCATGGAGGCGAAATGCAAAGAAGTTGCAGCAGGTAAGGATGGATTGTCAGAGGTTCTCAAGCTCTTTAAGTAATGGCGTTTCTGGAACAGGCTCTTTTTCATTTGGAAGAGGAGGAAGCTGAGCTTCGAGAAAGATTTCCCCAAGGAGAAGAAGCAGAGATGTTCTGGGCTATGACAGTACTTGTCTACATTGGGAAACTAATATTTGGAGTCATTGGGTAAGATAATTGGGCTGACACAATGTTAATTCTCGTCTTGTATTCTAATTGCATCATTCGCTCTGCAGGCTTGCCATTTCTGTTGCTTGGATTGTGCATATAATCCTATATTTGCTCATACAACCACCAGCGTCGGCTTTCCTGAACGATTTTTTTATAACCCTCGACCGGTGGTGGGGTGAGTGCCCGCAATATTCGACGTTATCATCGTAACACACTCAATGTGATATCCGTTTGACCTGCAGGACTGCTCGGAACAGGGGCATTTTCAATTTTTTGCTTTTACCTCTTCCTGGCTGTAATTTCGGGGGAGATGTTTCTTGGTCTCAACATTCTGATCCTTTCAATTCATCCCATGAGGTGTGACACGTTCCACGTCTAATATGTTCGTTGTATTTTGGAGACTTATGTGTGTCAATTTTCAGGTGGAATGCTACCCTCATGAGTTCGTTCTTATTTAACGTGGCCCTCATACTTTGCTGTGCAACGAGGTAAGACGTTCAGTTGCTTGGTTGTGTATGTCGTGCCTCTGCTGACGCCTTGTACTCCTGACGCAGTGCAATACAATTTTGTGCTAAGGCCTTTGCTGCATATGCACAAGAAACAGCAGTGCAGGAGATATTCGGTCATACGCTAGAAAATCTTCAAGGCATACGCTACCTATACGTGTACGTGAGTTCGTCTCTTCTGTTTTCTAAGACGCATGAGAGCTCTTCTTCATACATGTGCTAAAGGGTTCTACATGTGCTACTGAGATCTTTGCAGGTTTAACTTGTTCCAGTACATATTCATTGTCATGTTTGTTGTGACATTCATTTACTTCTTGGCTGTGGTAAGTGCTGGACCATTTCTCAACCATTCCAACCGCATGCCTTGTTTGTGTGCGGCTAGAGTGCTGGGAGTGCATTGCAGCAGTATGGTTGAACTGCGATTACCGAGTGCTTGCAGGAACGGAAGCGATGGAAAAGAAAAGGGAAGAAGCGAGCCCATACTTCAACATGAAGCTGGGCTGATGATTGGATCAAACTGCAGAGATAGGTCAGATGTATCTACTGCATGAATTGATTATATTTTGCAATCTTGCACCTGGTTTTAAAGTATATTTTTTATTACGGTACATCAATTTTGGATGGTTACCAGTATGGCACTACTGCCATTCATCACAAGACGTACAATATTTGGACATTCCATCAGCTCATGAGACATAAAGTGAGGCAGCAAATACAATGTCTCTTTTGATGGCAGCAGATCCCGCCTCCATGGTTGCCATGAGCTCTGCATTCCCCAGCAGCCTAGCGGCACTGCGGAACTCTCGACATGTCTCATCGAGCCGAAGAATGGTGCGCACGATAGTTCCCTCGGCCACGTTGGTCAGCGGACAGATGTCAGCGAATGGCGTGCCCTGGGGAATGCAGATGGGAAAGTGAAGCAAGGGAGATGCAATAATATGAGCCCAGGTTGGTGCCCTTGGCTGCGCTGCTTAACAGTTGGACGGCGAGACAGGAAGTGGGTGACTGATTATGCACCTTGCTACACCACGTGGCTACATCTAAGGTGCTATCTGGCACAATGGTCAAGGGGAAAGATGTTGCAAAGTACGAGCGGTGAAGAAATAATATAACAGAAAGGGGGGAAACCCTTCAGCAAAAGAAGAGGAACGGTCGTAGCAAGCCGTAAACCAAAGGTAAAAGAAGAGATCGAAAGAGAGAGGGGAGTGCGGGAGACACACCAGAGCCCACTCGTAGACCACCTCCATGAGTCCAAAGTTGAGAGTGGCTGCTGCATACTCTTCTGCTGATGTGGGCAGCCCCACTCGCCTCTGCAGGTCGCCCAGGAAGTATGCCAGGTCCAGCAACCTGCAGGGGCCGGCATGCGGCAGGCATGGAGAGGCATACGCATTGTGGTGTGGCGTGCATAGACAGGAGATACAACAGGAGCACAAGTCTGCAAGGGCACGAGCTTGGGGTCCAGACGATTATGCCAGTTTTGTTTAGTACAGGTGCGAAGTTGGAGGAAGATGTTGAAATGGGTCGACGGGTAAGGGGGGGCAATGATGGGATTCTGGTCGTGAAGGAAAACTCACGAGGTGCAGCGGTCTGGGGTGGGGATGGTGCGCGGATACAAGCCAAAAGCAGTGAATGCAGCTTCCTGTACTGCAGCCACCCAAGCCATACCCTGGGCCTGGGAAGCAGGCCAGTGTTGAGAGAATTCAGAGCCAGGTGAGCAGACAGCTAACTGCTCTGCAGAGGCATTTCTGCCCCTGCCCAATCTAGAACGTATGCATCCCCACCTTTTCCCCATCCCCGTGCCACCACCCACCTCATGGGTTGGTTCAGTGTAGCGGGAGAAAAACAGACATCCATACCATACCCCATCCCAGCCCAAAACCACCTCTTTCCCACTAGCCCCTCACTTGTTCCTGCGCTATGAGTTGGCTGCGGGGGACATGTTGCAAGTCAAGAGCCAGGAGCACAACACATAGCTTCCCTCCCTCATCCCAGCCCATTTGCTCCCCCTCACGCCGCCCCACTTGTTCCCTCAACCCTTCTCACTTGTTCCTCGCATGGGCCAGCTCCGCAGTGAGCTGGGGCGGCGACGCGTCCTTTTGCTGGAAAACAAACGCCGAGAGCAGCGCGACAGCAGCGGGCGGCGAGAGGGCGGCGAGGTGGTGGTTGAGCAGGCACTCGGTGGCGAGCAGCTCGTCAGCGCTGTTCATCTCACACGCCACCCGCCCCTTGAGCTGCACTATGCGATCTGCGTCTATGAAGGCCAGGGTCTGAAGCACCTCCACCTGGGGGGGAAAGGTTTAGGGTTTTGAGAAAATTGAGTTATGTGCTTTAAAAAGGAAGAGGTTCAGGGTTTTGAGTGTAGGAATCAAGAGGTGAAGAGGTTTGGGGTGTGTGAGAGTGAGGGAGTGAGGAAGCAAGGAGGTGGTGGTGCAGCAGGCATTCGGTGGCCGCAGCTCATCGGCACTGTTCATCTCACACGCCACTCGCCCCTTGAGCTGCACTATGCGGTCCGCGTCTATGAAGGCGAGAATTTGGAGCACCTCCACCTGGTGGATAAAGAGGTTTAGGGTTGCAGTTTGGACTTCAGGGTTTAGAGGGAGAGAGGCAGTGCGCTCCTTGCACCCCTCAGGGGCTGAGGTTCAGAGATTAGAAAGCATGGGTTTAGGGTTCAGAGTTCTGAAAGCATGGGTTGTAGGCTTAGGAAGCAAAGAAGCTTAGGTTAAGATCCAGGAAACGAGATGGTGGAGCAGTTATGCGCACTTTTCAGAGCCGCACAGCGCACTTTTCAGAGCAGCACTGAGCACACCCAATGCACTCACTCACCCATCTGCACCTCACCCCCTGCACTCACCCGCAGGTGGAAATCTGGCAGCTGCTGCAGTGCCTGGTCGCTCGTCATTGCCTTGAGCTGCTCCACCTGTGGTTGGGAAGAGAGGAGAGGAGGAAAACAGGAGTGAAGAGGAGAAATGGGAGGAGGTAAAGGCCAGAAGCAGTTGCTGCAGAGGCTGGCTGCTCCTTATTGCCTGTAACGGCCACGCTGTACCAGGGACAAATGTACTCAATTTGCACCACATTTGGGCATAGGCAAACTTTATGTGCTTGACAGGCGTCACAAATGGCTTCGTCTGCAGTGACTGACAGCAAGTACAAACAGACTTACTGGGTAAAACAGCTGGCACAATCAGGATTCAGACCATACCTGTTGCGACAGCTGGCGGCGAGAGGCGACCGCAGCGTAGTGCTCGTCCAATCGGTGGCACGCGTGGCACGGGCTGCGTGGCAGCAACTCCCGTAGTGCCAGCTGGCGCTTGTGCATGGCTGCCGTTGCTGAGTCAGCGATCTTGAGGTCTGATGTGGATGTGGCAAGGAAGACAGGCAAAACCAGCAAACTTGGGATGGGATCCATAAGAGCAGGAGGCGCACAGCAGAGTGGACTATTCAAAAGCAATACTATTTGGAAATGGAACAACTCGATCAAGAAACCTTTATGTATGGATAATTGGGCTAACCAATAAGAGGAGATGACGAGAGGATACGGAGAGAAGAGAACCTTTGATGGGGTCGAAGAGGGGAGGGTCGGCAGGAGCACACTCCTCCCGAACCTGAACCAGCGCCTGCACCACTGCAGCATACGCCGGCACCCGAACCTCCTCCAGCAGGCTCGGCACATCCAGAGCAACCTTGGCTCGGCACACCCCCACGAGCTGGGCGGCAGGAATCTGCTCCACCGTGTAACACGTGCCCGCTACAGTGCCGCGATGCGGTAACCGCATGTTGACGACTATAGGCCCGTTGGGACCCGTGCCCAGCACTGTGACCTGGTTGAAGGATCGACCCACCCTCGTCTCCTCCTCCCTCCCTTCCTCCTCTCGCCCCGCCTGTCCATTCCCAGAGCCCTCGCCGCCGCGTCCGTCGCCGCTCTCCCCGCTCTCCCCCGGTGCATGTGCAGCAGAGGAGCGCGGCAGGGAGAGCACGAGGAAGGAGTGCTTGGCTGGCGTGGGGCCGAACGGGCCCTTGAGCAGCGCTGCCACGTGGGGTGACGCCGTCTGAGGCGTGGGCGGGGAAGGAAGGGGAGGGGGAGAGGGAGGGGGAGAGGGAAGGAGGAGGGAGGGAAGCGGGGAAGGGGAGAGGTGAAAGGGAGACGGGGAGGTGAGATGGCGAGGGGAGGGGGGGAAGGAAAAGCGGGAGGAGCACTTGTGTGGAAAACACATACACAGCGATGTCAATATCTGCATCGTTGTTGTGAGAGCGCATGTGCTTTCGTTCTCCATAAACCATGATGCGTCCAATGCTGCTGCTCCACCAAACCCCTTCCCTCGCCCCCATCCTCATGCTCTCGCCCCCCGCTCTCCTCCCTACCCCCTTTTTCGTTCTCCCCCTTCCTCCATCCATGTCCCCCTCTTCTCACATGTACACAGCACAGCCAGCCAGCCACCCACTCACCTCAGCCGGCTGCACCAATACGACCCTGCCAGGTGTCAGCAGCTGAGAGGCCTGTCGGGACCGCATGACCACGTCATGCAGGGCTGCATCCAGCTCACGCGCCTCACTTGCCACGTCATAGTAGTGCTCTATGAGCGAGGGGTCGCCCAGGATGCAGCTGGGGAAGGGGTGTGAGGGAAGAGGGCGACAGAGGAGAAGGAAACAACGAAATAAGGAACCAAGGAGAAGGAAAGTTTGAGAGACCAGCACTTGCCATGTCATAGTAGTGCTCTATGAGGGACGGGTCCCCCAGGATGCAGCTGCAGGGAAGCGGTTGTGAGAGGAGGGAAACAGAGGAGAAGGAAACAAGGAAAGAAGGAACAGGGAAGGCTGAGGCCGTCACTTGCGACGTCATAGTAGTGCTCTATGAGGGAGGGGTCGCCCAGGATGCAGCTGCAGGGATAGGGGTGAGTGTGGGTTAGGCGGGGATTGATGGTAGGAGAACACGGAGGATGCAAATGAGGCGAGCGAGATGGGAGAAGGGAAATGAGACTGAATTTGACACCCTCTCATGCCACGCCTTAGTTGCAGAGAGTGTTGGTTGAACAAGGTGTGCCGCCCAAGCAGCTGGTCAAGAGAAGTTGCGGACTCGGCAATGGCTTAGCAAGCATCACATGATTCGATTTGAGGATTATGGCAAAAGGAACAGGGGACCGAGAAGGTACGGTACCTGATGGGCTGGGCGTTGGCGAGCTGGGCCAGGGCGTGCTCGCCCGCCTGCAGCATCTTCTGCTGCTGGGGTAGCAGGCGCTGCGCATGTGCCTCCGCAAAGCTGCGCTTCAACATGTCCTCCACCTGAGGAGGGGGGGGTTGATGATGGATGGAGTGAGATTGCAGAGGAGGAGCGTAGCAGAGCAGTTGAGGAGGGAGAATTTGTTGCTCCTTTTCATGTGCCTCTGCAAAGCTGCGCTTCAACATGTCCTCCACCTGGGT